GTAGATGGTGTAGAGGGTGATGAGGGACGCCTGCAGCAGCCCCGAGTGCGGCTGAGCCTCCTGCAAACACAACAGCGGGCGCTCAGGGCGGGCCTGCACCCCGCAGTGACACGGCCACCAGCCCCCTGGGAGCCGCCTTCACCTGGATCTTGGGCAGGATGGACACTACGGAGACGACGAGGCACAGGAGGAGGTTGATGCTGATGAGGGCCTTGCCCTCGGTGCAGCCCTGGGGTTTGGTGTAGTAGACGTAGAGCAGCGCGACGGCCGCGATGGAGGCGGCGTAGAACACGAAGGTGACGGTGCAGAGGGCTGGGGGACAGCAGAAACACAAACCTTAAATAGCTGGGCTGAAGTAACATGGTGTGGAACATCTTATTGGCAGAATACACATCAAATCACTTCTCCTATTTCTTTTTTTCCCTCTCAGGGAGTATAACAAACCCATTACACCTACTTACACCATGCCCCAAATAAGGAACTGTACAATCTTAGAGAAGCTCTTGAGAATTAGATAAGGAATGTAAACAGGATGTAAACTAAGCTCTGTGCACTCAAATAAAGAATAAACACTACACTTTCTGGTGGGGGAGCACAATGGTCCTGTGCCTGCTCGAGAACTGAGGTCAAGGTGATGAAGTAAAGGACCAAAGAAGGACTTCCAGTAGGGGTGTGACCATGTAGAGCAAACTAATGAATATGTATTAAGTAAGAGACAATACCCAATGAATCTGCTGGAAACAGTGTGTGTAATAAAAAGCCCTGTCCATCAGCCATTGGCACGTTGGGTTAGAGGAGCTCTCCTCCTGAATTAACATCTTCAAATTGGTGCTAAGAAGTTTGTTTCTGCTGCTTTTCGGTATCGTTTTTGGCACCCCAGATGGGACTGGAACCCACAATCCCCGTAAAAATGGGAAAAGCCTGGGCTGTGGGGTGTGCATTGTACCTTTGTGCACCTCAAGGCCTAAATTAATTAAAGAACTGCTTAAAGAACCTTCCTATACTCAAATTGTCCAGAGATTATTTCTCTGATTTCAGGTGATGCAGGACACTGACAGGAGAAATACAAACCTTACTCACAGCATCCCCCAAATAAGGAACTGTACAATCTTAGAGAAGCTCTTGAGAATTAGATAAGGAATGTAAACAGATGGGATGTAAACTAAGCTCTGTGCACCCAAATAAAGAACAAACACTACACTTTTTGGTGGGGGAGCACAATGGCCCTGTGCCTGCTCGAGAACTGAGGTCGAGGTGATGAAGAAAAGGACCAAAGAAGGACTTCCAGTAGGGGTGTGGCTAAGTAGAGCAAACTAATGAATATGTATTAAGTAAGAGAGAATATCTAATGAATACATAAACTGTGTGTGTCATAAAAAGCCCTGTCCACCTGTCATTGGCTCCCTGGTTTAGAGGAGCTCTCCTCCTGAACAAAGAACGCCCTTTTTAGCTCCTACAAATCGGTGATAAGAAGTTTGTGCTGCTTTTCGGTATCACGGGGGAGGAAACAAAAAGGAAAGAGGCTGGAGCAGAACCCCCCAGGCCTGGCCAGCCCTGGGATGAGCCAAACCCTCCGTGGTGCTGCTGCACCCACCTGCGTACCAGCCCTTGGCGTTGCTCTCGCTCGCCTCGCGCAGCCACCGCTGGCTCCAGGAGTGCGCGAAGTCGATGAGGAGCACGAGCTGGATGAGGATGAAGAGGAAGGAGCCGACCACACCAAAGTAAAACCAGACTTGAGGGCAGAGAAAAACCAGTTAGGAACAGGGAGAGCGAGCCCTGGGGGCACAGGGGTTTAGCCCCGTGCAGAGGGCACAGCTCCTCACCCGAGGTGAAGGTCCCGTCGGGGATGTAGAAGGCGCCCACCGTGATCCCCACCAGCACCAGGAACTTGAAGAACCAGAAGCTGTGGGAGGAGAGAGGAGGCACAGTCTGCACCCTGCAGGGGTCCATCCCTTCCCCCCCCCAGCAGCCCGGGCCGGGCACCCACCCGTTGTGCAGGGCGGCGCGGGGGTCCTTGCTGCTGCGCACGCACACCGTGAGCACGGCGAAGAGGCAGAAGAAGGCGGCCATGGCGAAGCCCATCCGGTACACGGCCTTGTGGCCCAGGAAGCTCCTGCAGTCGACGTGGGTCTGGACCCCCAGCACAGACCCGCTGCCTTCACAGAAGCCCGGGAGCTGAAACGGTGACGGGAGGGTGAGCATCACCCCAGTGTGTCCCGACACATCCTACTGGGGATTGAAGATTGTGGGAGGGTCTTGAAGAGCTACTGTTTGTATTGAAGAGCAGCTCCTGGACTGTGAAGCCCCCAGGCTGCCCAGAGAAACTGTGGCTGCCCCA